TAATCTGCAGGTCGCCCAAATCCGCCCCTCCAAATCGCGGGTCACTTGGGTCCGACCCTCCAATCTGCAGGTCACCAAAATCCGACCCGCCAATCTGCAGGTCACCCAAATCCGACCCGCCAATCTGCAGGTCGCCCAAATCCGACCCTCTAAATCGCGGGTCACTTGGGTCCGACCCTCCAATCTGCAGGTCACTCAAATCCGACCCGCCAATCTGCAGGTCGCCCAAATCCGACCCTCTAAATCGCGGGTCACTTGGGTCCGACCCTCCAATCTGCAGGTCACCAAAATCCGACCCGCCAATCTGCAGGTCGTCCAAATCCGACCCTCCAACTCGTGGGTCACTTGGGTCCGACCCTTCACTTTGCGGGTCACCCAAATCCGACCCTCTACTTTACGGGTCACCCAAATCTGACCCTCCACTTTGCGGGTCACTTGAATCCGACCCTTCAACCCGTCGGTCATTTAAATCTGACCCGCGCCAGAGTCAAGGCAGAAGATGTTCTACACCTGTTTCGTCGATCCCTGTGAGTTCCGTACCTCCAGCGGGGCACCGTGACAACGTGGATTTGTCCCGATTCAAAGTAAGGATAGTCGATCGCCTGGGTCCTTTGCACGAGGATCGAGGCAAAGTTCTGATCGAAGAATGCTTGGGTCCGGTGACTGAACCCCGAGCGACTCGTCGAGCTGGAGGTTGCACACGCCCTCGCAACAATTTCAAGCCTTCTCATAAAGGAAAAACTCCAATTTCCGCCCGCCTGGGGGTGTGTATCCAAAACCAAGAGCCTGTTGAGATCATGCGCTCCCAAAAGCGTAGTTCTAAACACGTGACTCTTAAGACTCACAAAGGTGTGATTCCAAGCGTGTGACTCCTGTAGACGCCAACAAGGTGATGTTTACTCAGAGGAAAACGCGTCAAACAGAAGAATGCGTTGTACCTGAGAATTTATGTAAACAGCCGATAGGTTGCTCTGACCACAACGTCGATGAGTTGTACTATCGGGCTGGGGGTATGAACGAGTCTCGGAAAAGATATGCCCGAGAAACCAAATCTCACTACCCGTGCGCCGAACTAATCAGGACAATATTATCAGCATGTAGTTGCCCCAAGACCGCTCCGCAGAGGGTCTCGGTATTTGAGAGGATCTCCAACGGAAAGGATAAGTCTAATCCAAAGCGTCTCTGTAAAAAGAGATCGGTTGTTCAAGGTGACGAACTCCCGGAAGTCACAATAAATATGGCTGATAAGGGAAAGTCGATTCGACCTTCTAGCTCTGACCCGCTTATATCTCATCGTCTAACCCGGTTGCGATCAGGGACCACTAGACGCAGGGACTACCAAAGAATGCAGAGAGGGTTATCCTCGGACGATGAAGCATCGGATGCTAACTCTGCAGTCGCTTCTGACAATACGGTATCTAGCCCAGGGCAATCCCGCGAAGTGTTTATGATTAACACCGAAGAAGCAACTAAAATGGTTGAGGATGCTCTAGCGAAGCAGAAGCAAGCATTTAAATTCGAAATAGAAATGGCTATGCAGCGGATGAAGGAAGAGCACGACCGACAGATTCGGGCTCTTTCCAATCAAATGGGCGAATCCAGCCGTCGCAACGCTGCTAACCAAGTAGGTAGCGATTCAGATGTGGATGAACGCCTCAATGCTGATAACCCTCTCGTTGACCAAAACGCTGGGGGTGGCCCCACTAAAGACGACAACGCTGGGAGTGGCCCCGTTATTCCTCTTAAGAATCGTCCAAAGCCCGATACGAGGCATTCCATGTCCCTATCCAAGAGAATGGGATTCGATCCCGTATCCGGCGAAGTTCAACCTGATTAACTTCACGCCGTTTGACGGGAAGGGTTCACCCACTCAACATCTGATCTACTTCAAGTCCCACTTGGGTATGATCTCCGGTAATGAAGCCTTGATGGTTCGGTCATTCGTTGGCACCCTTCGCGGGCCGGCCTTCGATTGGTACCGCCGTCTCAAGCCCGGAAGTATTAACAACTGGGACGATATGGAGAACTCATTCCTTGGTAACTTCTTTGACGACGACGACGAGGTATCCATCAGGACACTTTTTGATGAGAAACAAGAAGATGACGAAACAGTCGATGACTTCGTCAAACGCTTCAGGAATAAGGCAATGAATTGCCGAGATCCGATCACGGAGGACTTCTAAAGCAATGAACTGCCGAGATCCGATCACGGAGGACTTCATCCTCCAGACATGTCATAACAACCTATCTATTGAGATATTAGAAATTATGGGAGTCGCACCGTCCAACACTTGGAAAGAGTTGAAGACGCGCGGAGAGCGGGCCGAACGCTTCCTCCGAAGGAAGAAAGCCGAGAGGAGCCTACCAATGGCTAATCCTCCGAACTCGAACTTCGCCTCCCGTGGTAAAGAGAACTCACCTGCAACAGCTGTTGACGCTAACCAGACGTCGCAAAAGCAACTCCGAAGACAGCAAAAGACTTCGGGTCCGAAACTCCAAAAAGAGTATTCCTTCAAGGACGAAGACGTTCCAGCCATCTTCGAATCCCTCCTTGGAGGCAACAAGATCAAGCTACCACCTATCACAAATCAGGAGGAAGCTGACAACACTACGGACCCAAAGTACTGTGCATACCACAGGAGGGTCATTCATCCCACCAAGGAGTGCTTTGCTCTTAAGAATAGCATCCAAACCTTGGTTGAAGCCGACGTTATATCGCTCAATTGAGTTGAATAAACACTCCGATAAGTATAAGAGTATAAACTGCTCCTTTCTAGACTCCGAAGAGTATATGAGTATAAACTGCTTCTCAATCCTCCGACCGGTATAAGAGGTTAAACTGCTCTCTGATACTCCAATAGGCATATGAGTTTAAACTGTTTCCTACCGTTGACGGGAAGTTCCTGGAGAATTTTATACGTAATATTCTTAAGGATAACCCGATCATACAACCAGATGCAATGATAAACCCAGTTTCGCGAAGAAGCTGGGGGTGGATAATTCGTGTAACGGGAAGTTCCCGAAAGAATGTTAATATTCTTAGGGATAACCCGATCAATATTAACAAAGTAATGAACACAAAAATCCCCCACTGATCAAGTCAATTGACGGTGGGTCCATTAAATTTTCTGTCCGCCAATTCATGGCAATTTTCAAAGCTTGACGTGTTAAGTCCTGATTACTTAACGTCAAAACCCTTCATCGAGTGGCCAGTACAAACCAGTATTTCTACTGCTACTTGTATTCCACTCCCTGTCCGTTCGGTCAAACCTTCCTACATTTAGGACCACAGCCAAAATCCCCTCTCGATTCCTTCAATGAACGAGAGACCCATAATTTAAGCGATCAAACCTTCCTACAGT